CACCCAGTTCAAGATTAGTAAAGGATCGTAAGATATAAATCCACCAATCCGTTTGTCTCATAATGTACCATAAGAAGGCAAGAAATAGGTTGTTAATATAGCCCCTCCCCCCATATTCCAGAGTAGTTGTTATGACTGAGAGCAGCATATTCTGAAGGCTGTGTCAAACTGTTAGCCTCTGCTCAAACTGTGTTCATGCCTTACAAGTGAATATTGAGGCTAGAGTTAAAATGTTAAACTCCAAAATGTGTACTTAATGCTCAACAAACCAGGTGCTGAATATCTTCAAAACAAAGATCCTGATTTTGACTTCATTATAATAGACTAGCCGTATAAGTAACTCCACCAGTGAACAATGCATTTTCATTTCTGCCGTTTTAGGAAAAAACATATTTGACTGTGCGAAGTAATTCCCCACGTTAGGATATACCATATTTTTTGCTCTATAAGACTCAGGCTGCTCTATAAGAATGCAGGATGCACAGCTATCACAGAAGCCAGAACAACAAGAGGGATTGCTGCTTTCACTGCGCAGCGATCCCTCTTGCTGTTCTTGCTTCTGAGATTCAGAATATTTTTTTTCTTGTTTTCCTCCTCCAAAAACTAGGTGTGTCTTGTAGTCTGTTGCGTCTTATAGAGTGAAAAATACAGTACTCTTTTCCATACATTATGTGCACACAGAACACGTGTGCTTTGAGAGTGGCACTGAATTTGCCTAAAGTCATTTCAAATGTCGAAATGAATGGGCATCAGTTGGCAACAGAACCTGCTGCCACAATGTCACCCTCCTGCCTCGGCACATTTGTTCTCAGTGCGCATAATGTATGAAAGGGGCTGGTGTTTTCCTCCATCTCCTTTGAACACTGTCATCCAAGTGTCAGAACATGTCAAAGTTTATTTTTATAGGCTGACTAATCGCCTCAGACACTGTTTCATCTTTGGTGAGGTCATACACTACCCGAACACTACTCGGGCTAAGGGACTGTAATGAGGTGAAAGTAGTGCAGTTAAAAAATAGAAGAGGACAGGTGTTTTATTAGGCAGAAGATTCTGGCCTTTATTTACATATGCAAGGCAATGAATACTTCAGGCTAAATAAATAAACGAATAAAATTACAAACTTGTCAAACTCCCAGTGTCAATAAGTTGTAACGTTTCTAATTCAGGAGATGATAATGTTGGAATGTGTGATGACTAAAACATGATACGTTGTATGTCATCCCTGGAGATGAGCTTACGTTTCATAATATGATCCATGATTGAAAGAATTTTGCTCTGGTACCAAACAGTTGATGACTAGAACACATTGGCAGGAAACAGTACATAGCACCACTGCCCCTGTTCCTAAAGGAAGAACAAGAGGGATTATCAGCATTCTGTCCTCTCCACAATACTGAGAAGGTACCCAACTGTATAGCCTGTATGTTACAGCTTTTTAAAATCCTGATTTATTTCAGGATGGCACATATGATTAAGAACTGCAGGAACTGGAAAACGTTTCCAATGTCTTCTAATCCAAATGCTGGTTGGCAACACCCAGGGATAAACAGAGGGGCCTGTGGGGAGCTCAAGATAGATCCATATTACATTAAAGATCAAATGTGGAAGAGACTCCAGCTATAATGAAAATACACATTTCCGGAATACAGTGGTACCTCGGGTTAAGAACTTAATTTGTTCTGGAGGTCCGTTCTTAACCTGAAACTGTTCTTAACCTGAGGTACCACTTCAGCTAATGGGGCCTCCCGCTGCCGCCATGCCGCCAAACGATTTCTGTTCTCATCCTGAAGCAAAGTTCCTAACTATTTCTGGGTTAGTGGGGTCTCTAACCTGAAGCGTCTGTAACCCAAGGTTGTTGTTGTTGTTGTTGTTTAGTCGTTTAGTCATGTCCAACTCTTCGTGACCCCATGGACCAGAGCACGCCAGGCACTCCTGTCTTCCACTACCTCCCGCAGTTTGGTCAGTCTCATGTTTGTAGCTTCGAGAACACTGTCCAACCATCTCGTCCTCTGTCGTCCCCTTCTCCTTGTGCCCTCCATCTTTCCCAACCTCAGGGTCCTTTCCAGGGAGTCTTCTCTTCTCATGAGGTGGCCAAAGTATTGGAGCCTCAGCTTCACGATCTGTCCTTCCAGTGAGCACTCAGGGCTGATTTCCTTAAGAATGGATAGGTTTGATTTTCTTGCAGACCATGGGACTCTCAAGAGTCTCCTCCAGCACCATAATTCAAAAGCATCAATTCTTCAGCGAGGTACCCAAGGTACCACTGTATTATAGACTGGTAAAAGAATTAGAATAGGGGTGAGGAAACTTTAGAGCCCTAAACAGTTTGGCCCAAGCTATTTATTGGACTGCCATCCTTCCTGCACTTTTAACATCTGCTTCAGGGACTCTCCTACTGTGCCCACTTCACAGGTTGGTCAGGTGAATGGCCAAAGGGCACAGGTCTTTCTGTATGGTGGCCCCATGGCTACAGAATTTCCTTCCATTGGACTTGTATCAGGTTTCTAAGTTGCAGGCTTTTCAGAAGGCCCTGAATATATTTTTCTGATGGTCTTCCAGGCATGGTTTTAGTAGCTGGGTGATGGTCTGGTTGAATTAAAAGAATTATGTGGAGTGCTGTTGTAGAGGTCCAAAAACTGTATGCAATAGGGATGAACAGATTTGTTCAGTTTTAGTTCTTTCCGTTTCTGTTTTTCCCATCTGAAATTCAGTTGTCCACATTTCTGCAGCCATTTGCTTTAAAAACAAAAACAAGTCCTCAGAGGAGAAAGTTTGGAACAAACCTCAGTGTGGTGCATCTTCATGCCCTGGATCAGTTTGAACAGTACATCGTAAAAAATGCAAGATGAATATGACATCAATATCTTACATTTTTCATTCCTCCCCTATCCATAGCCACACCATTGATAACCTAGTCACTCTTCCTCAATGTTGACTGTCACCCATGTCATAAATACAGTACAACAGTATTTCCGGATGACTGTTCATTGTGTAAAGTCCTTGAACTTAGATTTAAATCTGTTTCAAGTCCTCTAGATATGTGTTGTCTCTGTGCCCAGGTGGGTGACTTGCCACCCTCAGCAGTTAATAATCTCTGGAAATAGATTAAAGTTGGCAGAGGATGGCGGACTAAAAACTCTTAAGGTAGTCTTTGGGGATTTGTGAAAAACCATATTTAGTTACTTCAGCTATATAGTTACGAGATGTAAATATTACGAACATGGAACACAGTTGTATTTTATTTGTTTCCTCTGTTTACACAGCAGTGTTCTGCTAGACAAGTGCTTGAAAAATTGATAAATACAGTGACACAGATAAGCAATTTCTTGTATACATTTCTTCATGATGCTGATGTTTTGAAGTAGCTCTCTGAATACTTGGATTCATGGTGGGCTAGTAACTCAGCCCATTCTGGCTCAACCCATTCTCAGAAAAATCTTGCTGTTGACTTGTTGTGATCTCATATGCCAAAGTTCAAACTAAGATGGAAGGTCTATCTGTAACAAGTTCAGTTTACCATGCACCTTTATGCAACTGGCTGAGCAGTAATTTGGCATTTACTGCTAATTTCCTGGGAAAGGACTCCTTGAAAGAGGTTATGTGAAGTAGTGCTTACTATGTCTATTCTGCTGGGCATAAAAAATTGCACAAGAGTACTCTGTTCTGAAGGATTAGCCTCCAAATGCCACTGTTAATGTGTCTTAATATAGGATTGTCACTTCTCAGTCTTTGAGGCAAAACATAAAGTAATTTAATAGCTCTTTGTGGCTGCAGTGCTGTACACGTTTACCTGGGGGACACCTCGTTGCACATGTCTCTGAGTAGACATGTTTAGGATCGTGCTATAATTAACTGTACAAAGAGAAGACGAGCAAAGTATATGTAGATGGATGATGATGTATCTTTTTTTGAAGTGGGTGTGATAGGAAATAAGATATCTTAAGTCATCTTTCATTGATGACTTTCATATGCATTTTTATGAACCTTGCACATTCCATACTTTATCATGCATCAATGTATTTCTGAAAATAAAAAATAATAATAGAAAGTAGCCAAGTACTGTTATGGCAGTTGATATTATCACATGTAAACTGAACAGATATTTTCGCCGTAAACTTTTGTACAGCCTGAAAATATTTGCTCAGCAGCCTTTGATACCTGGTGGTTGTTCCAAATGAGAGTTTGTGTCACCCTGTCTGTCACCTGGTAACAAGCAGCCTTGGGAAGCTGCAAGCCTGGCTGTTCCTTTGTGGAGGGGGGATGTTATTTTAAGATTCATAGTGTCTGTCTTATTGCCTAGCTGATATTCCCTGCTTAACTTGTATATATCTAAGAAAAATATATTGCAAAACCTGTTCCGTTCCCTCACCCCAGTAACTGATATTGTAAGGCAGCTCAGAAATGCTCTACCACAGCAGTCAGAAAAAAGCAGCACTTTACAGCTACTATTAATATGGGAGTTAAAAATATATATTTATACATATAAGCATGATTCCATAAATAACTTTCAAAAGTTAATGCAACATAACTTTAGTATAATCATGATTGTAAAATAATTTAAATGTAAAATAATTTGAACCCAACCATTTTTTAAAAATACATGATATACTACAAAAAGAGTATCAGAGCTGTAAATAAAGCATGTTATATAGACTGAGGAAGGATATATACATATTGTCATTGGGGGGGAAAGTTTGGTGAGACTGTGCAATTTACTAGTTATTAGCTTGCTTGTATTTTCAGCAGTTCTGAGCTTTCACATAAAACATCAGTTGTAAACTCTATGATTTATGAAAACATATTGCTTCTCTTCCGTTTCGGGCAGTTTAATTCCGGAATGGCTATAGACATGCCTTAAGAAAAATATTAATAGACCCTTAGTATACAGTGCATCTAAGAATAGCCCATTGTCTCTTCATTGCTGCAGGTCTATCATCTCATTTATTGGATGGTATCATTTTACTGAGCCCGGTCTGAAGCAGCAAACATCTAACCTAGTTGTTCGCTTTCATAGCAGCAGTAACAGCAGCGGGAGCTATCATCTGATAGTTTGCTTGCAGCCGGTTCAAGTTGGCAATGTCACCCAAGCTGATTTGAGACGCAGACATTTTTGCTGACTGGAGTCAGGCTATCTTTTCCAGTTTGCTGGAATAGACACAGACACTGATTGGGTCATGCTGAAAACATTCCAGTCCTATGAAGCAAGTCTGTTTGTATATTTTAGGTTTGGCAGGACTAATGAATTAAAAATCTTGGACTCTTGACAGTTCACCGCTTTAATAATGCCTCTGATGGAAGGATTTTTTGCCCCATGAAGCATGACAACACTGTAATCCTTCGTTGTTGGAAAGGAAGGGAAGGGAAGAAACGGTGAAATTGTGAAGGGAAACGGAAAAGGGTGGTCCTCAGGGACTGAAAAGCCTATGGGAAGTGCAGGTAGCAGCATGTTGCCCTGACAGCTGTTTCAACTTCTCAGACCTTGTCAGTTGCTGCTATGTAGCAGGTGCAGCCTTTTCTTCTATTGAATCTTTACTCCATAAAGGCAGCGACAAGCCAAGGCAGTGGCTGGCCCTGGATTATACAAGTGCAGACACTACTAAGTGAGGTAAGGCAACAGGTGTGAAAACTGAACTAACTGATTGAGTTGTAACCACACTTAACTTGAGTTCTGTTGCAGATTTTTTAAAAAAAAATAAGGAAGGATCACTCAGTTTCACAGGCAATTGAACTGAAGAACTGTTTCCTTGTGATTTTTTTTTCCCTTTCAAATTGAAAGCTTTTAGGTTTCATCAGGAGAGAGGGAAAAGGGATATATTTGAGGCAATTCTTTTTAATTTAGCTCACTGATGCTGTTCACACAGAGAATGTTGTGAATGAACTTTCCGTCCTTTCTTTGCATAGATTCATTTTGTTTCATTCTCTGAGAGGAAGACCTTTTGGGATTCTTTCGTAAAGTACAGAGAAAACTATATGTATGTATTGTGTACAGGAAAAGTAGTTGCCTTTCTGAAAAGTGGAAAACCAAATGTTTTAAAAGAAACTTACATTACCAGGATAAGAGAATGGCTTTTTAAAACAAATGGCTTTGCTACAAAAACATTTTAGCTTTGTACTCAAAATCCTTGTGCTTTTTAACATATAAATGGTTTCATAGCTTGATCACTTTTTAACATGCCTTTCATGCATTGTTCCAAGCTCTCCAAAGGATGAACACAGGAGACTCGTGGAGGGAAAAGTGATGATGATGTTGGTTTTCCAAATATATAACCTTTCTTTCATTCATGCTTTCTGTCTGTTTTGCAGTAGGTTAGTTTGGCCACAATACTGTGAGCAATAAATTATAATTATGTATCTATACCATCTCAAATGCTTTTGTGATTGTAAAGAAAAAATAAAGCAGTACTGTATTTAAACTCAATAAGAATATTTAATCATACATGTATAGATATGATTTTAAATAATTGATAGTAAGCTAAGTGATGCATCAATAATATTTATTATGCAGTTTTAATAGCCTAGTAGTTAAGCTAAAGAATATGGATCTAAGTTTGGTTTAAGGTATAACTTGAGTTCCCAAACCTTTATATGTAAGTCTAAAGATTTTGGCAAGCTCTCTTCAGAACTAACACTGTTACAACCTGTGTTTGTGTAGCTACAGTGTATTAGCGGATTTAGATATTGCTGTGATCATCTTACAGCATCTGAGAGATATGGGACATATCATAGAACTTCTCACAGCAAACATCTTTCAAAACAAACAATGTACTTACTGCTTGTGCTTTAGTAGACCAGGTACACTAACTTTGGTAATTTAGGGTAATGCATTTTAATAGTCTAAATGGGTCACTTTGAGGTTGAACACAATTTGTTCAATGTGTTAGTCTTCCAGAGCCTGCAAATTGCATTAGTGTGTCATCCTGAAATGAATGACAACACTCCTTGGCTTAAGCACATGTTTAAATGCTTTTCACAACTAGGATAGTGTTACAGTTGCTAGATAAATGCTGAAAGAACAAGGTACACTGGAAAATAGATGCGGGCTGGCCAAATTTATGCCTACTACCACAACATCCTATGCTGTTAGAGAATGGTGTTAAGGATGTTTTTTTGTGTGAACTAGTTCTTGCTATCAAAGATTTTTTTAAGTGCTTCAAAATATAAAATATAAAATACAATGGCCATAAGACTGCAAAGTCCAGACTTTCTGAAAGTTCTTGCAGTTTTAAGAGCTGCATTTAATTTTTCCAGGTGAAATGTTAAAGGTGAATCTACCAAGTCTGCACTTTCAGAAACAATGTGTGAACCAAAATTTGGAGATTCTTCTCCAAATTTTGCAATGCAATTCTGCAGCTTGTGCACAAAAATGCATATATTAGGGTAAAGTAATGAAAATAACATACAAAATTGCATTGTATCAGGGAAAATTGTGTTGCAGAATTATGTGTATTAGTCGAAATTGTATAGAAAAATAGACTTTTTCATTTGGGTGTTTTGTCACAAATTGATAGGAAAATGTGGAGCTGAACTTAAGATTGGAAAAATGAGAAACTAAAATTGACAGATTCACCCATCTCTACCAGTGATGTTTGAACAAACCAGTCCCCTGCTATTACATTAAAAGTATAGCATTAGAAGGAAGCAGAGCAATGAGTTGTTTTTTCCACCCGCTAAATGCCATACTAACTACAGGACAGGCCAATGGCGGAATATAAATGCACCTTGCTTACATTGCTGAGTATGTAATTTACAACTGACTCAGTAGATTTAATTCTTTGTTAGCCACTTAATATTATAGCAGCAGTGTAGTAGTTATAGATTTGTGGGGAAATCTGGTATCTGTATACAAATCGCAGGGTTTCTGAACAGATCACTCTCTGACCCAGTAGTCACATTTTCTGGAATGGTGCTCCAAATGGTGATAATCGGCTGCAATGAGCAAGTAAGTGGCTGGCTTCAAACTTAGTTAGCTTATTTTATCGTGGGCTCATTTAATGTAGAATTAAAACAAGTTAGTTGCACTCATGAAATCTGTTAGGTTACAGACATATCTGTTTTGTCTAAAAATTTACACTGTAAGCATCAGAACACCTGGTTTAAATGTACTTTAGCTGGCTTTTTAGAGTTGGGGGGAGGATCTCTGAACTGTGGGCCACTCTTGGTCTCCTGGGGGGATATAAGTTAGCCTGTGAGGCCATCTTTCAGAAACCACATCCACCAGCTGGTGTCACTTGGGTGGAAGGGCAAGGTAAATCCTGCATGCAGTAGGGAACAGGAGCACACAACTGAGCAGTGCTCGGTTTGGCAGGATTCCATACAGCCTCCTTCGATCAGGAAGGGGTTTGCATTAAAACCTCAGCTAAAACAAATGTGCCCCCCCCCTTTGTTTAGCAGGAGTTTCTATTCAAACCTCTTCCTGATTCAGGAAGGATTGCATCAAAGGCCCTGCTAAAATGGAGGTGGGAAACCTTAGTTTTAGCAGCACCTTGAACCTGACATCATGGTGTCATCAGGTGGTTGCTGTCCAATCTGGATAAGGATGTGGCCCATGGAGCTCGAAAGGTTCCCCTGCCATGTTTTAGAGGATGCAGGACAACTCATTTACAGTGGTGCTTCAGGTTACATACGCTTCAGGTTACAGACTCCGTTCACCCAGAAATAGTGCTTTAGGTTAAGAACTTTGCTTCAGGATAAGAACAGAAATCGTGCTCTGGCGGCGCGGCGGCAGCAGGAGGCCCCATTAGCTAAAGTGGTGCTTCAGGTTAAAAACAGTTTCAGGTAAAGAACAGACCTCCAGAACGAATTAAGTACTTAACCAGAGGTACCACTTTATATTCGTCTAGATATACCAGTGATCTGACCTATTGCAAGATAGCATTGTATATTAATACTGCCAATTTGGTTTTTTGTTTTTTTTAATACTGCCAATTTGTAAGCAAAACCCATTCGTAAAGCAATTGGCTGTTTTGTGCCAAAGAATTGTTTCCCTGACTTTTTCACTGTCGTTTTGTTTAATGGGTGTTCTCCACTACCTTCGTTGATCAATCTTTGGTTGTTGGTGGTAGTGTTTTTAAAATGCCTTAAACTGCACAAAAACCTGTAGAAATATCTCAGATGATAATGCTTAGAAAGGACTGGCCACAGATCAATTATGCATTTCCACATACCTAAACCCATTTTGTAGACATATATAATTGCACTAAATCCTGCATTGTCCTAGGAAAAGCCAAGAATGGCAGCCAAATACAGTGAGTTTCTCTGAAAAATTGTCTTGGCTAGCAATTGTTCAATGGAAGACTTGGATTTGCCTGGAAATATATATGGTGCCTGTGCTCTGCCTCTCTCTGCACATTGTGGACCTTATGTGTGAAAAAATCATGACAGGGAATTTACTTGCAGGTAATTATGCTTTGCAATATTCCTGAACGTGAGAGAGGATTACATCAGAGAAGTTATGAAGATATTTGAAGAACATTAAAATCACATTGCATTGGCTTCTCAAGACCCATAAAATATGCAATATTTATATTTTGCAGCTGGAACACATAAGTAAACGCATAGGCTCAAGTGCCCACATGATCACCACCGCAAGGGTACCTGCTGATAAACCGATACGAATTGCCTTCAGTCTAAATGACTCCGCAGGTAAAATTCAAATTTATTAAAGGTTCTTTGTCCTGGTTGTCCATTATTGCCACAAATTGGCACTTCAGTGTCACAGTTTGATTTTCCTTTGGTGTTTGAAATGATTTGGTCTCCATATTATTATTATTATTATTTATTAAATTTATATACCGCCCTAAACCCGGAGGTCTCATACATCCATCAAGTTGTTATAATCTCATTAGCAAACCTGTTTCGTTGAAATTGTTTATCAGGGCTCTTACTTGCAACAACAACAGAAAGACACAAGCCTAGCACAGCAGCAGACCGACATTACAGAATTCTAGGTGGATCTTTAGAAGGACAACAGAGAGGGAGAGAGTATGAAAAAAATGAGATTGGGTAAAAAAATACCTTCCTGACCAAATTGAGGGAAGCTCTCAGGAAACAGCTGGTCTGGATTGTATGTTCCCTCAGAAACAAAAGAAGTAAAAAGTTGGTTGACATCGTTCTTTATATTACTGCTGACTATTTGTTTAGTTTTGCAGCCTAAAGTGCAGGGTGGGGAGAGAGAGAGTTCTGCCATGTACGTGTTACACTCCCTCTGCATAATTTATGTGGAAAAGTTGTGTATGACTTAGTTTTCTGAAGGTTTTATAATAATTGCTGCATTAACCATTGGTGTCAAAGGTTGTTTTTTTTTAATGACTAAGATTAATTTCAGGTCCTGAAAGGACTCCTGTACCTTTGAGTCCCTGTGAATGAAACTACAATTAATAATAATAAATAAAAATTAAACCGTCATCTGTCTGGGTTTCCCCAGCCACTCTGCAGATAAAACATCAAATGTTAAAAACTTCCCTAAACAGGACTGCCTTCAGGTGTCTTCTAAAAGTCAGATATGCCATTTGGTGTTTTGTTCTTAGTTGTAAAATGTTTGCTTTTTGTTTAGACTATAAGCTTCAAGGCTCAGTAGAGCGATCGCCTCGGGCAGCAGATTCTACTGGGTGGGAAGCAGTGGGAAGGTGTTGGACAACAGAGCTGTGCATGCTGCTGACCTGTACAGCCCTTAACCCAGCCTTTGGGTGTTGTCCCATCACCAGTGTTGAAGCATGATTCAACTGCCTGCTGGCTCAGCCCCCACCCCTGCTGGAGGGGTGGAGCGGTCACTTTTCCTTTGACTCAGGCAGCAAAATTTTATTGGGCCTGCCCTACTTGCCGGGGAGTTGAAAAGGTCAGACCAGGAAACAGGAATTTATGAGGAGGGAGAAGCAACTTGGTTAGAGAACAAGAATCTTTAAAACTTTTGTGAAGCAAAGATGCTGAGTGGAGGTGTTGGAATATATATATATATGTGAGGCTGGCAAACAATGTTTAATGTTTTATCATGATTATATATATGCTGGAAGCCGTCCAGAGTGGCTGGGGAACCCAGTCTGATGGCAGGGTACAACTATTATTATTATTATTATTATTATTATTATTATTATTATTATTAGAGGAGAGAGCCAGAAATCAAGAGAAGCTAGGATGGAGAGTGATGCAAAGGATCCACCGTGCAAGGACTAAGAAGCTGAGCTGAAAGTGAGGAGGCTGGGTGATGCACTGCAGTGGACTAGAATGAGCAGAAGAAATGGCTTTTTGGTCATGGGTAAAGCAGGGAAATAGGCTAAACAAGTTTAGGTGGCTTCCCCCCCCCCCCAGTTGCTCTTATGGTTAACGGCTAAATCTGTTTAAAAATTTATTTTGCTCTACCCCAAACCATTATTACAACAACAGAGTTGACAACTTGACTAAACTCTACAGCAAAGGTGGGAACCAGTGGTGGTTCTGAGGTTGTTGAATTACACTTCTCATGTCCTTGACCATTGGCCATGCTGGCTGGGGCTGATGAGAGTTAGAACCCAACCAGTGGTTCCCCACCTCTGTAGACTATAGCTCATTGGTGATGGAGCACATCTTTGAATTCAAAAGGTACCAGGTTCAATTCCTGGCATATTGAATGAAAGAAATATTGGGTGGCAAGTAATATGAAATACCTTGTGCTTAAGACCTGAGAGAACTGCAGTCAGAGTATGTATGGCCAGCTCAGACCATGGGATCAATCAGGAGAGCTTTGCTTGTAGTCCTGTCAGTGAGTATTGTTCTCGGTATTTGAATGGTGGGCAGGGCCTTCTCAGTAATTGCACCCTGATTTTGGAACTCTCTCCCTTTAGAGGCATGGATGGCACCATCATTGCTGACCCTCAGTCATCTAGTCAAGTCCTTTCTGTTCTCTGAGGCTTTTAGACGAGATGTGTAGCTAAGGCTGCCATATTTCAAAAAGTAAAAATCTGGACGCAAAAGTTGTTGAAACAAAATTAAGGATTTTTTAAATAGGTTGTTGAGCTGGGCACTGCTTCTGGACCAAATCCCAGCTACCCTTTTCTGCATTGTTTATACTGGTTGCTTTTATTTTAAAATGTATCTGGTTTTCATCTTTCTTTTTATTGTTAAAAACCACTTTGAGACTTTGGATGAAAAGCGGTCTAAAAATCATATAAATAATTTAAATTTAAAGAATTCGGTAAAGTCTGGCCTGTCCAATATAATGCAGCTTTCTATGCTTAAAATGTTCTTCATAAATTGTATGGAATTGGATATATACCACTGATGACGATCCCAGGTTCAATCCATGGCATTTCCAATTCATATACAATTAAATTAAGATAAAGGGTAAAGCAGGGAGTGGGTGGTGCTGTGGTCTAAACCACTGAGCCTCTTGGGCTTGCTGATTGAAAGGTCGACAGTTTGAATCCCCACGACGGAGTGAGCTCCCGTTGCTCTGTCCCAGCTCCTGCCAACCTAGCAGTTCGAAAGCACTCCAGTACAAGTAGATAAATAGGTACTGCTGTGGCAGGAAGGTAAACGGTGTTTCTGTGCGCTCTGGTTTCCGTCACAGAGTCCCGTTGCGCCAGAAGCTGTTTAGTCATTCTGGCCACATGACCCGGAAGGCTGCCTGTGAACAAACAGTGGCTCCCTCAGCTTGAAGCGAGATGAGCGCCACACCCCGTGGTCGTCTTTGACTGGACTTAACTGTCTAAGGGTCATTTACCTTTACCTTTTTTACCACTATTAAATTGTTAAAAATTTTGTGTTAAAGAAATACTCTTGTTAGAAATGAAAATAGTTGTATGGGCTTCTTGAGTTGCCAAAACAAGTATCAGCATCCAGTATCCTTGTCAAAATGCTTTATAACTACCCAGTTAAATGTTCTTAGAGCAGCTGTGCTACCAATGTGACTGGAGTCATGTGTTGTCTTTCCTTTTGGCCATTCACTGTGATTCAACTTTCTTCTTTTAGAATATTTGGTTTGATTTTTTAAAAATGCACAAAGGGTTCTGTTGCAAAAAGTGAAACACTTGCAACTGACAATAAAGATGTTGCATAAAATTCAGAAAGTAACAGCCCTTATCATAAGCTTGCTTACTGAGAACTCCAGTGTTAATTATGAGAAGGTAATTAACATGACCAATATTTAAATAGCCACCCTAGAAGGATTAGAACCACAGTGCACAACATGTAAGGGATTTAACCCTTTCTCCTCATTATGGTCCTGATGAAAATCCCATCAGCACCAATGAGTACTAGGGCTGGAGGAGATTTTGCTTGGGACCATGAGATAACCTCCCCTCCATGTGCTATTTAATTTTTTAAAACTGTCAATATTAACTGCTTAGGCACAATTAGCATCACAACTAGTTGAGGCTTCTGAAAATAGACCTAACAGCTGTAGAGAAGTAGAGCAGACATACTTTCATCTCTTTGGAATCAAACCTTTTCGTTGAGGGGGGAAATAGTTCCGGTTTGCAGCAAAAGCTACTTGTGGGTGGTGCTGATTGGCTATTGGTCATTACATCACAGAGAGCACCCCTCCCCAGCCCCCTGGGAATCCTCTGAGCAGCTTGTGTGAAAAGAACTGTTTTGAAAATGTTTTCTTTAAAACAATTGTGCAAAGGATCAAAACACATATTGGTAAACATAAATGTAGTACTTTAAAAAAAGCAAAGAAAGCTTGCGCCTAGGGATGGAAAAATTTGTAAATTTTGGATTCTCTCTGTTTCCCATTTTTCCAGGCTTGAGTCAGTTTCTCTGCAGTTCCGCATCAGCTTGTGATTTATTTATTTTTTAAAGTTGTCATGAAAATTCATCAACATTTTAGTGTGAATTTCTCCAGATATGCACATTTTTGCAAGCAAATTTACCTAATGCAATGCATTTTTGAATGTTATTTTAACTAATATGTTCATATTTATGCCTACTGTCCCCTAATATACACATTTTTTACACATTATTCGGTTATAGAACAGCACTGCAAAATTTGGAAAAGTGAGAATTGCGAGTGAAAGCTGTGTTTCAGTTTGCATACTGTGATTTAGGGCTTATCCACACTTACCTTTGGTCCCACTCTTTCCAGCCAGAGGTCCACGCCTTAACTCTCCATGTCTCAGTATTTTTTCCTTTTGTCCTGAGCTTTCCCCATGAAAACCCACTCTTTAAAGTTGAATTGGAGCAAATGTCAGTTCGGGATTTCTGTGGATTGACATTTGCTCCAACTGAGCTTTAAAAAGTGCATTTTCACAGGGAAAACTCTGGAGAAAAAAGGGGTGTGCTTGGATAGTAAAGGGACCCCTGACCATGAGGTCCAGTCGTGGCCGACTCTGGGGTTGCGGCGCTCATCTCGCTTTATTGGCCGAGGGAGCCGGCGTACAGCTTCCGGGTCATGTGGCCAGCATGACTAAGCCGCTTCTGGCGAACCAGAGCAGCGCACAGAAACGCCGTTTACCTTCCCGCCGGAGCGGTACCTATTTATCTACTTTGACATGCTTTCGAATTGCTAGGTGGGCAGGAGCTGGGACCGAGCATCGGGAGCTCACCCCATCGCGGGGATTCGAACCGCCGACCTTCTGATCGGCAAGTCCTAGGCTCTGTGGTTTAACCCACAGTGCCACCCACGTCCCGTGTGCTTGGATATGGAGCTTTAAATTGCAGGCTATGCCTGGAAGGAGCGGAGGAAAGGTAAGTCTGGATAAGCCCTTTGGGAGTTCTGCATTAAAATGTCAACCCAACTGCATTTATCCCCCATACCTACTTGCAGTCCACCTGGAACACTGGCTGGAAGAGCAAGTCTGGTGTCTGACTCAGCAGCTGACTTGATAGAATGAGTATTGGCATCCAAATTCCAATACCAAGAGGAAGCTTGTAGCCGAAAAACCAGCTGCAACTCTACTTTTAAAATATTAGGTCTGTCTTCACTGACACTTCTTGCCAAGCATGCTTAGAGTTGCAGGTTTAGGACTTTTCCAGACTCTTCATGGACATCTATGGGAACCTTTCCAGGACCAGGCAAAGCATATACATACATAACTAGCACTGTTTCTGGTAAACCTGGTGATTAAGTGGCAACAAGGCTGGGTAGACCTGGCCTCTGAAAAACCATACCAAATCTAATCCTTCAGTGTTTCCCAGTAGGTATCTATTACTCATCAACAGGAAGACCTGGTGTCCAGATGACATCCTACCATCTATGGTGAAAGCTGTTAATTTTGTCCCTGGCTCCTTTTACCTCTCCAGCCTTTAATTGCACTGGGTAGATTCACTACTGCGCAATTACAGCTACATTAAAATCCAGGATTGCTGAATTAACAATAATAATAATACCTTTAACATAGGGAGGATTATTTCCAGCCATACTTGCCTTTATTTCTTGAAAGAATTTAGTAGGCCAAAGAAAAAATAGACGTATCACATTGTGATATTATTGAGCCATTTGATATCATATCACATAACATGCATATAAATAAGCCAGAGATATTTAGATTAAACCAGATGCAGGAAGAATAAAGCCTTGAGCCCCACACCAAACCCACCAAAGCTTTCCCCTTAGCCCAAGCAGTCTTATGCTGCCTTGTGGCAACCAGCCAGGGATCTAGTCATTCCATTCTCATTCCAGGAGAAAAGGAGAATGTCACCACTACCCAGCTGTCCACTCTTGACATTCTGCTATAGTAATATTTGATGGTCCTTCCTCTTTTGTCCTCTGGTATGATCCCAGAATACAAACTACATGTTCTGACTATCTCAGTATGAACTGTATTGATGTTGCATTTTTAGCTCCCTGTCCCTATAAAATACATGCAGTTGGCAGTCAGGAAAAGATCAGGCCTCTGTTTGCATGTACTGTAAGAATAATAGAATCATATAATTGTATTGTTGGAAGGGACGCTCATCCATTCTTGAGATGGGAAAATGCATAGAAGAACTTGACTTCAACAGGCAGCAGCACAAGCCACGTTCAAGCCCACTGAAGTAACAAGCTGAAGCAGAGAGCTGTACTGTGTGAAACCATAAAGTTCTGGAAGGTTTTATCTGCATACTGTTGGCCATATATTCATAATTTTATTTGAATGCCGCCTTTCCACAGTTCAAACCATGCTCAAGGTGGCTTACAACATAAAAAATACATAACTGCAACATAACAAAAGTCACTATAAATAAACATTAAAAAATAGACAATTAAACCAAACAATTTTCACATAAATCACAAGATCTATAAAAAAGATACAAAAAACCAGCAGCAACAACCCTACCCCAAACACCCCAGCCCAAGTCTATAGCTAGTGCTTATCTATGACCTTTATGGGTCTTGATCCCTTATTTTTAGGGGAAATGGATGCAGTCATTAGGCTTAGACTTAATGGAACCACTGTGTCATTTTTTAATATATATTTTTAGATTATCTGTAAAACTGTGAGAAAGTACTAAGTTGAACTTCATGATTCCCTAAGTCCAGTGGCATTTAGTGCTGTCATTCAGTGGGCTGCTATCCAAGAAGGCAGCCTCAGGCTTCTTCACAACTGTACGTTACATATTTGATGTGGCCAAATATGTGGTCATGTGATGGATGAAGCCCTAAAGGTGATTCCATGTACAGTAAAATCATTTGCAAAGAGATGCAACCCTACGCAGACCCCCCCACCCCAGCCCCCAAGCAAAGCATATCCGTTTCTTCTAAATTCTCTGTTTCTATTGTAGAGCCTATGCTCTACAGGGGTTGGGAACTTTTTTCAAAAGAAGAGCTGCATTCCCATCTGGGCAGTCTTCCCAAGGGCCACACGCCAGTGATGACCAAGGTCAGAGGCAAATGTCAAGTTTTACCTTGTACATCAGGTTGGTTTACACACACACGCACCCACGCCCATCTCTATCTTCCATCCATGCAGCCAGAGTTCAAAGACACATTCCAGCCAGACAAAAACACTCAAGGAGGTTGTGAAGTAGGGCTGCTGAGAGCTATGGCATGAGGAGAGTGGGTGTGACAGAGTGCTAGATAGAGGTGCCCGGGGGCCATATTTGGTACTCAGGTCCGTCCCCCGCTTCTTTAAGTAATTGACCATATATATGTTTGTATAGATGGGAAACAAATATAAGCATGCACGTTTTTTCTATGCTTTACATCAGCTGATGATGTAGTCTGCCTCTTAATACTTGTTAAGATTTGAAAATAATAATTTAAACTTGTTTTCTTTTCAGATGATACACCCCCTGAGAATGCTTTTCCTTTGGCTTTTCCAGATTTAGAAAAGCAGCTCCAGGTGACTCTTTTATTTAATACAAAAATCCATTGTGTGAACTACAATTATTTATAACTATCAAAAATAGACTTCTGCTGTAGTGGGTGATTGTAGTGAGTGATTGTCAATGTATGTACTCAAACTATAAAAATGAAAAGCATGGAAATATAGGCTGTTAGACTTTTAAAATATGCCCTTGTGAGTTCCAAAACTTCCCTCTTCTCTTCACATAGAAAAAGACCACATGTTTGGCAAGTTGAAAATGCTTTATTTACAAACTCTCCAAAGCTCAGGTTCATGTGCCTTTCCATGCAGCATTTAGAAAAGTTGCACAGGCAGTAATATTCTTAAATTATACTATTGGTATAGGAACTTAAGAGACGCTTGTTAGAGCCATGTTGAGCTTCTCTGAGCTTCTCTGGTAGACTGAGGTACAATAGTAGGCTTGATTACCTTTCACCCAAAGTGAGGAGAAGTGACCTAACCAAGCCTGGCAGGACAACTTACTCTGTGGTATTAACCCCTTCATGCATTAATTAGACTTAAGTATGTTGGTCACATGAGGCTGGTTATCCCACATTTATAAAGTGAAATATCTCTTCCTGAGACAATCGGAGGCCTTCAGGTAGCAAAGAACAAAGAAATTTCATCCCACCTTGAGCAGTGTTAGGAGGTGATTAATTTTGAAGCAACCTTTCCAGACACCTCAAAAGATACCTTTCATCCGACTCAAATTCTTTGTTTTCTTTCTCATTCCCCTCTGGATCTTTCTTCCAGCCGCCATATATCTCCATCTTTTCACCCCAAGAGATGGCAGATGGCAGCTGTAAAGTAGTTCTATGCTGAAATCTGTGCCCTGATTTCTCCCCCACCCCCAATCATCAGTGAAAGAGGCTTCCAGTGTTCTCCCTCATTATCAGGGCACTTGAGAATTTCTTTAGAATGTCTGTTAGCTTACCTTTTCATTGTGAGGGGGCCAAGGGTGCTGGGTGAGTTATTCTTTCCAGTAAATCATAGAATCATAGAATCATAGAGTTGGAAGAGACCACAAGGGCCATCAAGTCCAACCCCCTGCCAAGCAGGAAACACCATCAGAGCACTCCTGACATATGGTTGTCAAGCCTCTGCTTAAAGACCTCCAAAGAAGGAGACTCCACCACACTCTTTGGCAGCAATATTTCTCCACTACTCTGCATTCTCCCAAGCTGCCTGCATTTCCTGATCTAAAAAGGCACATGGGAGTAGTTACTCAGGCTAGCTTTCCTGGAGCTTAAGTGAAGCACAGGCACCCAGGAAGTCTGCAAAATGCGGTCCTCTGATGAGATGATGTGCAGAATGAAAGAAAGGATACTTCACCCACCTCAGAAGTGAGGTGCTTCACATCACCTATGAGAATTTCATTGAAATCAACTCTCCCATTTTATAATTTTTGGACACAGTTTCTTTTATCATTGACCAACATAGAATAGTTTTTAAAATGCAGGAGAAATTCTTGGCTCCACACTAGTTTAAAGGTGAAAGGAGCAGAAGGCGAGGGACAGAATCTTTCACCCACCCAGAATGTCAGTCCAAGAAGGGTGAACTGCCTTTTTTATTTTTTTAAGAAAAAGTAGATGGAGCTGCAATTCAGCTCATGAATTCTACAGTGCAGTCCTATGCATATTTACACAGAAGAAAGTTCTGTTGCAGCTGTAGTTAAACAGTGTCTTTTATTCCTTCCACATTTTAGTACTGAATCCAACCCTTCTGCAGTAGGAGAAATGTTGCGTAAAGTTAATAATGATGAGCAGGAAAAGGGAGAAGCCCTGAGGTCCGGAAAGGCAAGGGGTCTCCCTTTAGGAACTGAATCTGTGGTCCATTAGTTAATATTTATTGGGGGAAGTGAATGGCACTGTTACCAACACAGTGCCTGTGGTTATATCTGCAATGTATGCATGCTAATACCAGTCAGCTATGTATACGTATATTGTATGCTGCACTATGCAAGCAAGAATAAGATTTAACAGTTTTAAAATTATCCTTACCAGCCAGGTATAATCTTTTAAATTTGCAGAAGGCTTGGAGAGACAATAAAGTTTCCTGTCATCAACCTTTTTTATATTGTTGAACTAGGAGCAGCCTAATAAATTTACATAAAAAACATGTCCCAGTAAGGACAAGAACTTTGCTGAATATAGACGGCTTGAAGTACATGTTCAAGTGCGTCACTAGAGTAAGAACACAGATCCAGACTGAGATCATGCATCTAGAAAAAGAAAGAATGCACTTTCCACATTTGGTTATTTGCAGCAAAGGACCTCTGCTCTTTTCTCTTTCCTTAAATAAAATCTAGACTAGAAGCTTTCTAGCAAACATTAGTTCAAAATGTGGAAATTCTGCTACCCCACCTCCCATCAGTTTGGTCCCACTTGCTCCCCTTAAAGCTGCCTGGTCAAAATGTTACAGTGACAGTAGGCATTTTAACCAGCTGTCTGTAGACTTTGCAGTGTGATGTTCTTTTTGCTCGCTCCCTTGCCTTGCACTTTCTAGTGGGTACATGAATCCTTTGGTCCCTAGGCCTCTTTCATGTAACATTTCCCACCTCCCCATGGGTCATTTCGCATGTTACCAAGTTTAGTGCCCAATGTACACTTAAGCAGTCGCTGCCTGTATGATACCAAACATGTATTTGCCACAAAGAAATTTTGCATTTCTCAGTATTCACTTGAAACGCAGGTGCTCAAATATTATGTAAAAATCTTGAAATGCACATTTGTGAATGAAATAAATATAAAAGAACGCATCTCTTTCAGATATGTATACTTCTTCAGTCCACTTTATACATGACATTTAGAAATACAGAAGAAACGGGTTTATGTCAGGCTTCCTCAAACTCGGCCCTCCAGATGTTTTTTGGCCTACAACTCCCATGATCCCTAGCTAGCAGGACCAGTGGTCAGGGATGATGGGAATTGTAGTCTCAAAACATCTGGAGGGCCAAGGTTGAGGAAGCCTGGTGTATGTTGTAATGCAGAGCAAGTATTTGGTTCTGAATACACCAATCAGGCAAATGTGTATTCTTTCCTGTATTCCTCTTTCTTTGTTTTCTGTGCCATGGGATAGTTTTTCCTGCAAAGGAAAATAAAAAACAGTGACAGAGAAGGTTTTAGATAATTAATAGAAGTCTGATTTATAAGTGCTGGGAAACTCAGTTCTTACATATCTATTCCAGTACAGCCTGTATAATCTAACAGTTATTTGCTGCCTTATGATATTGTGAACGGTTCAATGCAAGTTCATATGTGTTTGGAAGTATTTAAGATTTTCTGAACATGGTTTTGACACAGATGAACCTGATCAAAACAGGACAGCTACATGCTTTCCACCTCACATTTAGATCTGACTATGGTAGGGGACAGACTAAATTGGACGGGCATCTCTAAAGATACAAGATGGAGGCCACTTGAGCTATTAAAATTTCAGTAAGCAATCCATGCAAGTGGCTGACTAAAAATGACATTGGGGGAATGAGAGGCATGGAAAGAAGGAAATGACAGATTTGTTAGACAGATGGGCTGCCTTTCTCTTTATAGGAGGCCAGGGGTGGATGGAGAAAGACACAGGCTGCCTAAATCCAGAATAAAAAGTTTTCTAGTTTTGGAAAGGGGATTTACTGAGAGGATAACAATAGAAACATTCATGAAAGCCTGAACATATTATAAGGCAAGTTGAGTACTGGGCACAAACCAGAAGTATGCATTTGGTTACTTTTTAAATAGCCAAGAAAACTATAGATGACCATTAATCCAAACTTGAAACCATGCACTAATTAAGCGTAACATCAAGCAACATCCCTATGTTTATTTTCACTATCTTTGTCTCACACGAGAACCACAGTTATCAGTTCCATCTGTTCTTTTCTCTTACCCCCAGATTTAGCTTTATATTTGGGGACACATTCATTTCCCCCCGCTCCCTCAGCCAAAGCACATTTAGCCTCCTAAGCCCTCACTGTAGAACTATAGTCTCACATTTTCAGAATCTCTGTTATGTTTATCCTGCCCTTTGTTGCTATTTTTTTAAACCTGTCCTTACCCTTTACAAATGCCCTGGTCTTTACAGATGTCTTGTTTCCTGTCCAAAAACTAAACAGTGGGTGCTTTTATGAGCATTTCAAATCTCAAACATCTTTCTCTTTGGTTTCCTGCATCCAACAAACTGTACTAGTGTTTCTTTTAGGCCCTTACCTGGTAATGGATAATTCTTTTGGAGGAGTGGGTCATGTTTGGAGAAAACCCAGGTGGTATTCAATTGAATTTTACTTCAGAGTAAATCTATTGAAATTAATGGACCTTACTTAATCATGTTCATTAACTTCACTAGGTCTACTCTGAGCAAAATTTAGTTCTGATCTGAAAGTCTCTGGTGTTTGCTGAACTAGACCATCCTTTGCTCATCTGATGCCCTCCAGTTGATTTTGATTGCAAGCTCCAATCCAACCTAGCTTGATCAGTCTGATGGGAGTTGTGATCCAAAGGGCACTGAGCTGGCGAAGGCTGAATGGGATTGTGGAATTCAAGCTCCACACAGGTGTTGGTAACAAAACTGGTTTCCTAGTGGTGTTCTATGTAGGCACTTGGCAGTAATGGCCCTACCATTAAGCAGAGTGCAACTGCTTCCTCTGCTGGTCATTCCTGGCAGGTGGGGAGCAGTGGCAGCCTATGGTAGGACAGATCAGATCAGTGTGTCCCAGGTAATCTGCCCTGCATCCCTAAGCTAACCTGCTGCCCTCAGGTGTGGTGAAAGATGCTGTCCTGGCATCAGGGTTGAAGTAAGACAGAACTGCCACTCTCATCAGCTTCTATATTTTGCCTCGTGATGTGTCTGAATACCAGGTACTGGAAACCACAGGAGGAAGGAGTGTTCTTGTGCTTGGGTCCTACTTGTGGGCATCTAGTTGGCCCCTGTGAGAAAATAATGTTGGACTAGATGGGTCTTTGGCCTGATACAGCAGGCTCTTCTTACATTCTTAAGTTTTTATATCCTTCATGTCAGACAGCACAATGTTTTGGGCCAGCCCTTCAGGGTTCTTAGAGGACTCTTGCAGTAGAGCTACTGCTAGACCAACGGAAGGGGGTCAGGAATCTAGAAGCTGGGTTAATTTGTGGTGCCTAAATACAACCCACATTATTTACTCCATTGATGAGAGAAATGCTCCCTGAGCCTGTTCAGGGGCACTTTGATTTATTCCTACACCTTATGCTCTAGGTCAGGAGTTGCTTATATGGCACCTCTAGGTGCACATGCATTCGCAAAGGCTTTCCTTGGTGTCCACAGGGGCCTCCTCTCGCCCCAGCTGAAATTAGACCTGAAAGAAGCATTTTATTGTAGCTAATATAATAGGTTGTGGTGTGTGCTTGGTTGGTGGGGGCATGGCACTTTCTCCAGTTTCCCCCAAAAGGTTGGCAACTGCTGTTCTAGGTTAATTCCAGATATTGAAAACAAATGTGGGGGCTGTGTACCCTGGTGAACAGGGTACAGCCCCCACAAATTATGCCCCGTACCTTGGAAGATGTGGCCTCATTCCGAAGGATAGGAATTTAGACTTGCCATAGTTTCCCATTCTCATATATACACAAATCCTAGAGTATCTCTGCTCATAACAATAGCCTTTCCCTAAATGAGCTTTTGTTGTGTCCCCTCATGCAGTCCCTATAAAAATTACTGAAGGAACAGTGACTGACTGCTTGATGTCCACTTTAACCTTTTGTATCTCCCATGGCTTTATGTGTAGCCAGTCTTTAGAAGGAAAATATTGGTGACAGAAAAGCACAGTGGTGAGAAGGTCAGGTTTGGAAGTAGGTAAAACCATGTTCAGATTGAAGGAGAGAAGATGTTTAAGATCTTACCGCACACACTGGACACGGGGCATGGAAATAGCAATAATATTTACACTAAACTCAGAGAATTACAAGCAGGCATCTGCTTCTTTGTTGTAGTGTTATCACTTATTTAGGTGAAATCATTTGCTATTCTTCTTTTAGTGAACTCTTATTGAAGTGACATATTGAAGGTTAGCGAAAATACTATGCCATTTTAAAAGGCTGAATGCAAGTATGAATGTGCTGTGCCACTCCCAACAGAGTGACTCCAAGTATTTTTCGCCACAAATAGAGGAGCCTAAAAAGAGGGAGCAGGGTTAGAAATAGATTCTCTTTTAGATCAGAGGAATGCTGTGTGCATCTCAACTGGGCAACAAACTGAGTCAAGATGAATGAAAAAAGTATTTTCTTTTTCTACTTAAGCAGCTTGTTGCTGTATAGTGAGAGGTTTACTTACCCTTTTCAAAGTGTGTTACGCACAGTCCACGGTAACAGACAAATTGTGGCCACTGATTTTTATCTGAATTAAGGTGCTGCTCATTCAAAGGCACAGAAAGATGTCTCCAGAATAACTAGTGAATGATGATCTAGATCATATCAGAATATTTTTATTTACTAGACTCACCATGTCTCATGGAGTTCAGTGGGGGGTTACTCTCAGATAAGGGAGGATAGGGTTTTAGCCTTAGGCTGCAATTTTGTGTATACTTGGGAATAAATCCCACTCTAGACAGTGGAACTTGCTGTAGGTCTAGCCATGTGCAGGACAATAACATATTATTGAAGGTCTTAACCTCCAAAAAGGATGATCTGAGGTACTTGTGGTCCTCCAGATATAGTTGGGCTTCTAACTTCCATCATGACCAATGGAAGTTGTAGTCCAACAGTACCTGAAGGCCACAGGTTTTCCCCTACCCCCCCATATAAAAACTAAGATTAGTTTCAGGGGTATATAATCGCCTTTTTGTGATGGAAAGAACAACACTGCAAACTCTTCCCTGCATCTTTACATTGCAGGAGAAGATCAGTAGTAGAATAAAAGCTCTCCTTTGGCCAGATTGTCCACCAATGCTGATCATTAGGAACTGTTGCCAAACCTACAAAGCTCCCCCCGCCCACAGAATCACTGCAGAGTATTTTATAAATAAATCAATGAACCCTCCTTAGACAGTGTTGACATGCATAGGACACATTTTGGGGAAGGGGGGGTGATGTCTCCTTAAGAGAAGAATGTGTGGAATTCCTGTCTGGAAATTTCCAGAAGATTAGCAGTAAGTATGCTACCTTCTAGCTTAACCCACTTCTTGTGGTCTGAGTTTCAACGGGCAATAACTGAGAGACGTATGAAGTGAACTGAGGAAGTGGTGGGTGCATCACGTAGTTCATTTTCCATTGTGCCTCAGCCTACGTGGATGCAGTGAAAATGAAAAATGATGGGAACATAAAAGCATACCTCATCAGAAGCTAGAGCAGGGGTAGGCAACCCAAGGCTCGTGGGCTGGGTGCGGCCCAATTGCCTTCTCAGGAATCAGCGTGTTTTTACATGAGTAGAATGTGTCCTTTTATTTAAAATGCATCTCTGGGTTATTTGTGGGGCATAGGAATTCATTCATTATTATTTTTCCAAAATATGGTCCGGCCCACCACATGGTCTGAGGGACGATGGACCGGCCCACAGCTGAAAAAGGTTGCTGACGCCTGAGCTAGAGGATGTGCTCCCTGAACCATGAATTGTGACATAAACAGTTCCTCAGCAGCTGTTGGTGTCTTGCTGTCCTCATAGGGACAGAGATTGGGTGGGGCAAGGCTGCAGCAAAATCAGGGCAGTTCTGGCAACCTGGAGAGCCCCTCCCAGCAACCCAGAACTTGCTTGACCTTACCTCAGCCACCATATTCACTCCTGTCCTGACAAGTTCTGTGCCACCAGGAGAACCTCTCTTCTGCTCTCTTCATGATCCATCACTGGGGTTCTGTAGTATTGAAGAGCATGAATATTAACTATTTGTTGCATCACTAGTTATGAGTTCAATGCCCAACCCAAGTGGTAGGAAGTTCTCATCTTTCCCACTCCCCATCCCAGTTATTGTTCCCTGGAGTACTACATCAGAATTTCAGTCTTTCCTCACTTGTCCATCATCTGCATCTGTTAGACTGAGTTGCCTTGACCCTGAGATGCTGTAATTGTGCATCTGTAATAGTGTTCTCAGGTAGTGTCCTGGGCAGAATCTTTTCCACACTGTTAAATCTAGCATTAAAAGTCTTCATGGCCTTGCTCCATCCTATCTCTTTGCTTAATCTTTGTCTTCCTTTTTGGTATTCATATCTAGTAATCCAGCACTAGATCTGTACGTCTCATTATACCCCTGTCCTTGTCCTCTCCAACTTCTGCTCCCTAGTTTCCTTTCCTCTTAAATGAACCGGCTTCTTCTGCTCCTTAGACCTTTGAGTCTTCTCCCACAACTTTATGTTATTCCCACCTCTCTCAGCTTTTGTGAGATAGGCAACCTGGTGCCCTTCAAATGCTGCTGGATTCCAACTCCTATGAGCCCTAGCCAGAATGCTCAGTGGTCAGGTTTGATGAAGTCTAGGGACGCGGGTGGCGCTGTGGGTTATGAATAGGGAGAGCCTGTAGGTCCACAGCCTGTATTTGCGCATTATGCCACTCTATAAAAATACATTGAACATAGTTACCACTGGAGAAACAGGTGTGGTTACTCTGTAGAATGAAAATGTAAATTGTGAATACCAGTTGCTGGAAACCACAGGAAGGCAAGAGTGTTCTTGTGGTCAAATCCTGCTTGCTGGGTTCCCACAGGCATCTGACTGGCCACTGTGAGAACAGGATGCTGGACTAGATGGGCCATTGGTCTGTTCCAACAGGCTCTTCCTATGTCCTTGTGTGAAATGCTCTACATTTGATTTGATTAACAAAATGCAAGGCTCTACATGAATTGGATTGTGATATTATCTGTGTTGTAAGTCATGGGCTATGTAAGGTCATAGCGAAACCACCAGGACTCTAGTTGTCAGAGGTATTAGCCCAGGTTTGGATTTTATATCTTTAGGAATAATTGGTCATTCTTACATTGCCTTCTGTGTTCTGCAATTTAGCTTATGTGACTTTGTTGCATTATTTAATTAAATAATTATTATAAAGCCAAAGCTGTTATTCATAAATATGTATAACATAGAATCAATTAGATCCTTAATACCATTTGCAAAATAATACAGTACTACTATTCTTATAACAGATGTGGAGGGTGTCTTCTTTTTTAAGCTAATACTTTCATGAGACAATGCTCCACTCATTATAAGAACACAAATGATGATATTAAAATAACATCTCAGTTTAAATTTAATTTCTGATTATTCATCTGAATGCTAAAAACCTTAAACTATTTCCCCCTTTATGTTTATGAAGCCTCTACCTCCTTGCCATGACTCAAAGGAATCTATGCAGGTGTTCAAACAGCACTGCCAAATAGCAGAAGAATACTATGAAGTCAAAAAGGAAATTGCACTGCTTGAAGAAAGAAAGTAAGTGTGTGTTTCCTTTTCTAAATAACTGTCATATACTCAGAAAGGTAACATCTGCATGAAGAATTTCTGCGTTAATCAAAGAGACTAGTTAAAATTAAATGAGTGACAGCTAACTAAGTTATGCTTAGAGTAAACTAGTTTATTTAAATGGGTCTTCTCTGAATATGACTAACACAGGATATCATTTGGGGGGGGGCAGAGAGAGAGAAAGAGAGAGAGAGAGAGATTTCTTGTATTCCTCCCAAGTGTGTTATTTCTTTTTCTGCATTGTCTGTCTACATTGCAAGCTTAAAGGTTAAATTCACAGAGGCATCCATAAGCAAGAGAAAAGCAATAATAGATTCATGTCCTGTGACCTGGAGAGGTTGGGGATGCGTATCATTCATGGAGTTTGACCTTACCTGTTTTGCTGTTTTGAATATGGAGTCTTGGCATTGTCAACCAATACCATCTGGTCAAAAGATTATTTGGATCTAAAAATTGCCATCTAACACATTGACTTTCAAGGCAATATAATGTTCTGTGGGTGGTTTTGGCCCACGTATCTGATGGCCTTGGGTATCAGGCTATCTTGTCATATCACTTCCCACTACAGTTGCTAGATCACTCTTCTTTTGATATTTTGTCTGAAATCTTGGAGAATTGTTGCCAGTCTGCACAGACAATATTGAGCTAGATGGACCAATAGTTTGGCTCCATCTAAATCAGCTTCCTATGTTCCTATTTGGGAGGAGAAGATATGATGAATTGTAAAATCAAAACCAAAGGTTTGTCTAAACATTACCCATATACATGTATTCAGTTTATTCATGAAGTATTAAGCTTTCAATGTGAGTTATATAATATTTACATTTTAGATTTAACCACTTTTTAGGGTTCATATGTCACAGCCAGTGTTTTTCGAGTGTGGTGTATTGGTTAAGAGCGGTAGTCTCGTAATCTGGGGAACCGGGTTCGCGTCTCTGCTCCTCCACATGCAGCTGCTGGGTGACCTTGGGCTAGTCACACTTCTCTGAAGTCTCTCAGCCCCACTCACCTCACAGAGTGTTTGTTGTGGGGGAGGAAGGGAAAGGAGAATGTTAGCCGCTTTGAGACTCCTTAAAGGGAGTGAAAGGCGGGATATCAAATCCAAACTCCTTTCTTCTTCTTCTTCTTCTTCTTCTTCTTCTTCTTCTTCTTCTTCTTCTTCCTCTTCCTCTTCCTCTTTCTTATACTGTAACTCACCCTGATACAGAAGTATTCTGCTAGCTAAGAGTTCACAGAACAGCATTTTAATGTGTTTTCCTTCTTTTCATAGTTCTTAGGATCCAAGCCAAAGGGACACAAAGGACATTTAAAAATCTCTCTCTTTTTCCAGAAGGGAGCTGATCTCTAGGCTAGATCAAGCTGAGAAAGAAAACATGGATGCTGCTCAGCTAACTAAGGAGTATGCAGACCTGACAGAAGAGAACCGGACACTGAAGCTGGCCCAGACGCAATGTGTCGAACAGCTGGAGAAGCTTAGAATACAGTATCAAAAGAGGCAAGGATCGTCATAACTTTGAATGAACCTGTCTGAGCCAAAAAAATCTGGGCTCCCGTTCTGTGCTAGGCAAGTGTTCCCCCTCCAAGGTTTCCTCTGATATGTTGGAACACTTCACTTGCAGAATATGCAAATGTCTAAAATGGATTTAATGCTTGCCAGCCACTAGCTTAATATGTATATTTTTATTTGTTATATAATAGATATTTTATTTCAAGGAACATAATTGAATGCTTATCTATCCCCATTCTATGTTCAAATGGATCAGTCTGAATATATTTCTTCCAATTTTAGGAAGATACAAGCACACTAGAAACTGATTTGAATAGTCTCTGTGTTGGGAAGTGGACCATACTAAGGCATATTAGTAGGAACACTGTTAAATATGGGGAACACGGGAGCACACGCCTGTTCTTTCATGAACCTAAACAGCTTATGGGAGAAAAACTAGTTCGTTTATCTGACAATATGTGCCAATGGGCAGTCATACACTGAATAACTTTTAAAAACTAGTAACATGGCACCTTAATCACTTTCTTTAAATAACTATTGCTGTAATCCTATACAAAGTTACTGGGACTAAGTCCTATTATGCTCATTGGGACTTTCTTCTGAGTAGACTTGCATTGGAACGCACTGCAAATTGGCAACAGTGATTTGTACAACTTTGATGTGGCAAGGAAATGGAAAAGTGCACATTTCCTTGTACAGTACTGTACCAATCTTAACGTTTTCCTTGAAAGTGAGCCCCATTGATCTTAATCTTACCTTAATGAGCTTGTAGTCCTTCCAAGAGGGGGCCTTTCAGTGACAGGACTTGCTTCTCAACAGTGGCGGAGGAACCCTCTCCTTCACCTGGGGCACTGCAGTCCGTATGGGCTGCCACTTGCACAGCGACCGTACAGGCTGCCATGCACGCGCAGTCTGTATGGGCTGCAGCTTGCACGGCGACTGTACAGACGCCTCACGAGCACGTCCATATGGACTGCAGGCGCCCTCGACTGCTCTACAGCTGGGGGGAGGCAGGGGCCATCTTGTCACCCCTCCCAGAGTGGCACCCAGGGCGGACTGCCCCCTCCGCCCCCCCCTTCCTACGCCACTGCTTCTCAATATAAGTATGCTCAGAATCAGAATGTTTATGTAATCCAAATTAATACTAATAATAATAATTTTATTTTTTATACCCTGCCCATCTGGCTGGGTTTCCCCAGCCACTCTGGGTGGCTTACAGCACATATAAAACATAGTAAAACATCAAACATTAAAAGCTTCCCAATTAGGGCTGCCTTCAGATGTCTTCTAAAAGTTGTGTGGTTCTTTCTCTCCTTGAGATCTGAAGGGAGGGCGTTCCCCAGGGAAATAATAACCTTATCTGTGCATGACACCTTGGATTTGTCTATGCAGACTTTCCAGGTGTGGTTCTATGCAGTGAGCCAGCTGTTTGAATGTTGGTGCCATGCACGCATACAGATCAGCAAAGGTTGGTTTTCACACACCATCTTCTTGGCTGCCTGCAGCATTTTGAGTCTGAGTGATAACAGTGTGAGAAACCAGTTTGGGAGACTTTTCAAAGCTGATTTAGTGCATAGCAAAGTCTGACTAAGAACTGGGGGCAGGAAGCCTTTTGTGGGAATCAGCCTATATTGCCACACAGATACATCTTCAAGCCAAAGTACATGACTTCAGATGAGATCTGTGATTGGATGTCCTGACTTTCCTTCTCATTTTTTTCGTCTTAAAAGCACTCCTACGCCTGCCCATCCCACCATTTCAATCAGGATCATGGTGCAGAGGGAGGCAAAGGCGAAACCAGATCTCATAACTGGAGATAAAGGGGCTCTTGAGAAAAGTACAATCTAAAATGTGTGTCTGTGTGTATGAGAGAGAGAAAAAGACTTTTGCATTGCCCTATGTAAATGACAGCCCTATGCATTGTCAGACAAAAATATTATTGAATTCCAGGCAATTCTGAGCATACTTTTAAATCAGATCCATTAATATTGGTGAGCCTTAGTTCTAAGTATATGCGGTTAGGATCAGGATAATAAAATTATGTGTCATCTTTTTGGCATACAAGAAATAGAAAAAGAACATGAAGACGGTGAATGGTTAAGATTATATAGTTGTCAGTTGGAGCCCTAATCCAAAAAGCATCACTTGGAAGTAAGTTCAGTAATGGGATTTCCTTTTGGGTAATATGTTTAGGTTTGTGGTGTAAAAGTAGTGTAGTATCCGTATCAATTTTCTAGGAGAAATAGCTAAGCATAAAAGATTAATATCAAGTATTTCCTTCCTCTATTGGTAACTCTGTTTTCATGAATCAGCTAAAAATTCTTTGTTATACTTCCATTTCTATTCATACAGTATTTTTTTCATTAAAATACAATTTTAAAAGTTACTTTGTTCCTGAATTTCCTTTCTTCTGTTAGTAAGTCGTAGGTCTGACTGAGATGTGTGAATTGCTTATATATTATAAGGTTTTCCCTAAGTGCAGTACCTTAAACTGGTAGCAATGGTTCTGGTTCGTGTACATTCTACAATGGCTCCAACTCAACTACTGTAAAGTGCATTGTAAATTCTCATTAAATTAATGGTAGATTTGTGGTGACTTAAACCCTATTGATTTAAACTGGGTTTAAATGCATTTCACTTTACTTGGGTTAGGGTCTACTGTGTGACAAACTATATTTTCCCCAATCTTGGTGAAATTTGCGTGTGGAATTAGCATCCTACGAGTTACAAAGGTTTGTACCCATTTAAAGAGTTTTACAGCTGGCCATTTTTTACTCTCCTCTTCATTTTCAGAACCTTTCCCCATTTCCTTCTTTTTAAAGTTCTTAATGTGTATCCTGGCATGGTGAATTCATTCATAAAATATCTAAACCTAGCTATTTCATCATTCTAGAACACAGCTATTTTCCACCCCTGTCTCAAGCCAACTTTAGGAAGGGTTTGATTGGCTATGCAGGTAAAATTTTACAATTTCAGCATTATTTAGAGAAAACAAAAATGAGGGAAAGGTTACAACATTTCAGGATTTTTAAGGCTGTCAATGGCTACTAGCCATGGTGGCTAGGTTCTACTTTCAGTATCAGAGATTATATGCCTCTGAATATTAGTTATCGGGCAACACGAGTGAGGAGAGTGGTGTTGTACTCCTGTCCTTTTTGAAGGCTTCCTATAGACATCTGCTTGGCTGCTGTGAGAATTCTGGACTAGATGAGCCTTTATCTCGCAGGGCTTAGTTGGTAAAATAAAAGCAAATGTGATGTGTATATTTAATATTATGGAATGGAAATATATGTTGGGCTGTAACTACATAAACAGTTTTCTATAGGTTGGTCATATTTTGGTTGCCTCTCAATATAGATCTCAATTACAGCACCTGGTCTACGTCATTCATCTGCACAAAGAATCAGAAGCTTCTGCAAATGCAACACATTGCCCTCTTCACTTCAGTGAAAACCACATATCTGTGTCGAAGCAAAATAAAAAAAAATCCTTCCAGTAGCACCTTAGAGACCAACTAAGTTTGTTATTGGTATGAACTTTTGTGTGCATGCACACTTCTTCAGATACACGAAAGCTCATACCAATAACAAACTTAGTTGGTCTCTAAGGTGCTACTGGAAGGAATTTTTTTATTTGGTTTCGACTACGGCAGACCAACACGGCTACCTACCTGTAACATATCTGTGTGTTCATGTGAATGGGCATGCAGGTCTCTTGCCTCCATGGAAATGAATGAGACGCTCTCATCCCTTGCAAGATGTCAGATGTCACAACATCATGGATTATCTATGTAGGAATTCATAAACTACAAAATGTGTGTGTGTGTGTAAATAATATATTATATATATTTAAGATTGTGGAATAAAAAAGAAAATGCTTTCTCATATAGGAAAATAATGGTCACCCCGTCTGAAGAGCTGGCGATATGTTGTGGGGTAGGGCTTAAGCCTATGATTCAGTCAGTTTTTCATCTAAAATTGTCAAGCCTAGGAGGACAATGTGAATGTGGTTCCTAACTTACTTCCAGACCATTTGGTTGGCAACATAATAATACATTTTTAAAAATATGTTCTTCCACATGTAGCAAATGTTCAATATGTTTTTCTTAAATATTCCAGGCAATAAGGATATGAGTCATGCAATGTTGAAACTCCCAGATAAGAGAGTGACTGTAGCATTTTGCAAAGCTGGAATTGAAATAACAATATTTTTAGGTACTGACAACTTCTTGGGGAATTATCCTCTTTGAAAAGGTTATAAATATATACAAAAAAGCAGTTTGATGCTACAACAGTTCAAGTTGGGCAACCAGGGACAAAACAGGTAAACTGCAGACTCCACAAAATGGAGCCACCTCTAATCTCTCCAACATTTTGTTTGCATTCTGCTGCTTGTACAGGTACAGAATTGCCACAGTGGCTGCTTTAGGGGCTGGCTGTGTCAGGAATTCAGTCCATGTTCTATTCATTGTACATTTCTTAGAGAAGCTACACCAGAAAGAACTTTACTCTCTAGAAGTTCTGAGCTGAAGAAAAGGGCATAAAACCCCATTATATGGTTTGAGCTGGTTGGTGGACTCTTCTGCCACATTGTTGTCAAGAAGCATTCAACAAATTTGAGTTGTTGTAAAAGTTATTGCTTCTCAAACCCCCCCCCCCAAAAAAAACAACCCAAGCAAATAAAACTGGAGAGATATTCTGGGAATAGCATTTGGTCCTCAGTGTAAACATACGTCACAGTTCCCAGAAATAGTCACTTCTTTTTACACAATCACATGTGAGGGTGAAACTTAAACTGCTTTGGGAGCAATCCCGTGAAAGCTGAGTGTTTTTAATTCTCATTGATTTTAATGGAACTTGAAAATGTTTCATTTAACCTTTATTATTAGTTGGACCTTTATTGTGTTTGTAGTTTACACACCACAGGATTTTGTTAGATAAAGTTGCGTTCTGCCTGAAGGTACAGGCTCACAGCTTAGGGATGCTCCTTAATTCATTTTTGCCAGTAGAGGTTCAAGTTGCACATGGTGCCTTTTACTCAGGAAAAAATAAACTACAGAAGGGAGTTTATGAATTGCTTTGTATCACTGAGGCACTGATCAAAACCAAGCTCTCTTGGGGTTGCGAAAGACTGCTCCTCAGTTGGAGCAGTGGTATTAAGAAACACATGGCTAGGAAAGATAAGCAGTTTTAAGTTGAGTAGCTTAAAAATACACTAGTTATGCAGTGAGCTCAGACCAACCATGAGATGTGCAGCTGAAAAAACAAAATGACTATTTTGGTTTGATATTAAGCATTTGAAACTTTTTGTCTATTGATGCCCATTCCTATTTTAAGCGTTTCTATTATTTTAAGTTTATCTCTTATTTAATATCATTCTGGAGGACACAAGGGGGATGTATTTATATAATGCTAAAAGTCATAGACGCGGGTGGCGCTGTGGGTAAAACCTCAGCGCCTAGGACTTGCCGATCGCATGGTCGGTGGTTCGAATCCCCGCGGCGGGGTGCGCTCCCGTTGCTCGGTCCCAGCGCCTGCCAACCTAGCAGTTCGAAAGCACCCCCGGGTGCAAGTAGATAAATAGGGACCGCTTACTAGCGGGAAGGTAAACGGCGTTTCCGTGTGCGGCTCTGGCTCACCAGAGTAGCTTCGTCACGCTGGCCACGTGACTCGGAAGTGTCTGCGGACAGCGCTGGCTCCCGGCCTATAGAGTGAGATGAGCGCCACAACCCCAGAGTCTGGCAAGACTGGCCCATACGGGCAGGGGTACCTTTACCTTTTTAAAAGTCATAGAATGATAGTGAAATACAGCCACACCCTTTCTTGTATAAGAAGTTACCCTTCCCCAGTAAATACCACTTTTTCAAAGGCAAATGAAAAAGAAGGAATCATTACTACCATCTATAGACCAATACTAAATGCACTAAGACCTTGTTCTTGTTTGAGGTTTACTTGCAATGGCTTCCAACCTTCACTATTTAGCTCCCCCCCCTTTCTTTTTTCTTTCTTTTTTTTTTTTTTTTTTGTATCAGCAAATGAGAATGCTATGGACTCATGCAGTCGATTTCTATGCATGTAAAGGAAGCTGATGTAAAGGCAGTATCCAGGGTAAAATGCAGCAGCTCAAACATTCCCTGAGGCAAAATATTATCATATTGCACCGCCGCTGAAAGAATTGCATTGGCTACCAATTAGGACCCAGCTAAGTTCAAGATGTTGGTACCAGTGTACAA